CACATGGAAACTGATAAAGGAGAGGAGGATGGTGAAACAGAAGATAAACCAGTGCATGGATGCTCAACGACAAGAGGAACTGAGCACAATGTATAAAACACTGAACAAAGAAGTAAAGAAGAGTGCACGCAAAGACTAAAGACACTTCTACGAAACACTGGCAAGTGAAGCAGAACAGGCTGCAGGTAAAAGAGACCTGACGACACTGTATCAAATAACCAGGTTGCTATCAAGGAAGAGATCAACACAGATGAAACCAATAAAAGATGAAGAAGGAAATTTAATTACGGAAGAAGAGAAACAAAGGAAACAATGGGCAGACCACTTCAAGAAGCTCTTGAATCGACCACCACCTGCACTTCGTCCAGAAATACCACCTACAGCCGCTGAACTACAAGTGAACATAAATCCTCCACCAAAAATGGAAGTCCTGAGCGCCATAAAGCTACTGAAATGCGGGAAAGCAACAGGACCAGATGGGATACCGCCAGAAGCGCTGAGAACAGACGCAGAGATAACAGTAGACATGCTCACACCACTATTGCAGAAGGTGTGGAAGGAAGAGAAGGTACCTGGCCATTGATTGGAAGAAGGGTTACCTTGTCAAACTGCCGAAGAAGGGAGACCTCAGTGTTTGCAAGAACTGGCGCGGAATCACTCTCCTGTCCACCCCAAGTAAAATATTAAGCCGCATCATCCTGGAGAGGCTTAAGGGTGCACTGGATTCAAAACTACGACCGGAACAGGCTGGCTGAATTCAGGAAGTACAAATCATGTGCTGACCAAATTGCAACGCTTCGCATCATCATAGAACAGAGCATAGAATGGCAATCAGCTCTCTACCTCAACTTTGAGAAGGCCTTTGACAGCGTCGACCGAGAGGTAATTTGGAAGCTGCTTCATTACTACGGAGTACCGCAAACCTTTATCCGCCTCATTCAACAACTATATGAAGATGCCACATGCCAAGTAATTCACAATGGGAAGCTCAGCTCAGTGATGCTTTTGAAGTGAAGACAGGAGTGAAACAAGGTTGCCTACTATCCCCCATGATATTCGTGATTGTGGTGGACTGGGTCATGCAGCAAACAGTGGGCAACGAGAAGAGGGGGATACACTGGACTGAGGAAAAGAACCTAGAAGATTTGGATTTCGCCGATGACTTGTGCCTGATGTCACATAAACTTGAAGATCTGCAGGCAAAAACTAACAAGTTGATAGAAGAGGCAGCGAAGACGGGACTTCAGGTGAATATAGAGAAAACAGAAGGTAGAGGTGATGAAGATACCACACCACCACCAACAACAAACTCCAATCACCGTCAACGGGAGAAACTTAAAGGAAGTAACCTCCTTTACTTATCTATGAAGCACTATTTCAACTACAGGCAGCGGTGGCACAGACGAGGATGTCAAAGTCAGAATCGGGAAAGCAAGACAGGCGTTCATTAGCCTGAAACCAGTGTGGAGATCTTCTGCACTCAGCATGTGGAACAAGATACGGATCTTCAACACTAACCCAGTCAAGTCAGTGCTTCTGTATGGCTCAGAGACTTGGCGCGTCACGAAAGGCATTTCCAATAAACTACAGACATTCATCAACAGCTGTTTACGCTCGCTACTTAAGATCAGTGGAGATGGCCAGAAATAATAAGCAACAAGGAGCTCTGGGAACGAACCAACCAAGAACCTATCACGCAACAAATATGCAGGAGGAAGTGGAGATGGATTGGGCATGCACTGAGAAGGCCGACTGAGGACATCACGCGTCAGGCCAGGTACTCGAGTGGAATCCCCATGGGAAGCGACGAGTTGGATGTCCGTGGTGAGGGTGAAATGGAGGAGGTCGTGCAAGGAAGAAATGAGAGGTTGTGGGCTGTCGTGGAACCAGGTTCAAAAGATCTCAGAGAACAGAGGTCACTGGAGACGTGCTACCGAAGCCCTATGTTCCACTAGGAACCCAAGGGACTCATAATATAATAATAATAATGTGGTAAACAACTACTATTAGTTGAAATGATTTTTACGTTCAATTGCATGTGTATCATGGTATAATTTCAGAATATGTAACTCCTTATTATTTGCTTGAATAAGACCACTCGTTTAATCTATGTATATTGATGTAGGGATCATGTGGTTTTGATTGACAATCGGTTAAAAGATAGTAACTGTAAAAGTACCTTACCTAGTTAACGATACATTGAATGCTTTCAATTGTGAAATCAAGGATAACTTCATCATAATTATCGTCATAGTTTGTTTTTTATTAGCCAAAATAAACACAATAAACGATTAGGTGATACCATTATGCTGTTACCTAGTGTATAAATAAGTTGAGTGGATGTGTTGTATCGTGGTGATATGCGGAGAAAATTATACTACTAGTACTACTACTGCTGCTAGTAATAGGCATCTTTTATCTGCACGTTATACACCTTGTTCTGCTGGGAATTATTTCCGAATTTCTGTGATAATGCACAGTTCGCTACCCAACCTATGAGCAATGAACAGCTGTTGTGTTCTAGTATATGGTTCAGTGGTGGGCCTCCATGACGCTACCAGCGATCGAATGCATGCCTTTCAGAGGATCATGTTATTATTAAGCCACTGGGTCAGAATCTAATGATCCAAACTTTTCTATTTCTGTCAGTTCATGATATGGCATGGCCGTCATCCAGTGCTATCATTGAGAACTTAACTTTACGTCCAACTTGGTTCTCACCACAGGCCACGACTTGTCATTGAAACGTCATGAAACCTCATCTTAAAGCATGTCACCTGTGAACACTGGGCAGTAATTCAGTTTCCAGGTTTATGGGGATTTGTTGATTTCATCATGAAGTGATAGTAGTTAGAGAAGCAATGAAAACTTGGGAGCCGTGAATGTCTGTTTCTTCCTAGTATATGACTGCTCAGCAGTGCAAATTCATAACTCCCTCAAGTATCAGTGCTTCCAGGTTTTCAACGATTCTTTAACTGACATCAATCTGTGATGGTTACTATCATGGTTTCAATAGTTCCTCACAAACTCGCAAACCAAAATACCCCTTTTTTGACTTTATATATTCTTTCCAACGAGTGAATTTGATAACTTATGAAATATATTCTTGGTTATGATCATATTAGTTATCGAGTATTCTAAGCTACCCTAGATGTTTGTAGTATTCATTTTTACTAAGCTGAAATTATTCGTAGCAAATGATGAGTTCAGTATTCTACTGAACAGCCGAAAGGGTCAATACTTCGGTATGATTTCCTGTAAACTGTTTTTATATCACAATATCATACCTTCCGGTAATGAATAGTCACTTTGAAAGTCTGTTCAATCTACTTAGGCTTACATATACAGGTTTCAGCTGTCACAGTATGAACATGTCAGACAGATAAAATCAACGATGAACCTCGCACAGAAGTCCATCGATCCAAGTTACCACACTTCACAGTAGTATGCGAAGACCAGGTGGATAGAAAAGTGATATCATTGTAGACAGTTTCATGTGAGAGAATAAGCAGTTTGAAGATGAAGGTTAGTGCGAATATTGAAACTTTAGAGGACATCAAGGAAATATTACATCTACGTTATTGTGACCGATTTTCAGACATATCACCAAGGTTCTTCAACCTCTTATTTCTGTGGTCTCTGAGACACCAACCAGGCGGTCTACATTTCCTCATACTGTTTAGACCAACAGTCAGAGACTCCATTGACTGGTGTCCACCTCTTATTCTGATGTCCCTGAAGCCTCCTGCAAACTTATTCAACGTTCGTTGGTTGAGATGACTTGAATATATACTGCTCATTCCGAGCCAACACCTATCTCGACTTTTCATGCTAGGGGAAGCTAGATCAGGTTGAAATAGAGTTCAGGGTTGCTAGATCAAAACCTTGCTTCAGTCCACGAAGTCCCTGATTGTTAGTCTGAACCGTGTAGAGAGATGTAGACTAACTGGCTGGGTCCTCGAGACGATAAGAATCAGTGACTGAGGACTCTTAGTGACATGGCTGACAATCGTTCACGATGGCACAGATGTATTCACTACCTAACGTCTTCTAAAGCTTGAATATTCGCACTAACCTTTGTCTTCAGATTGCTTATTCTCTAACACAATTTTGTTTACTTCGATACCACTCTTTTTGTTCATCTGTTCTTTGTGTGCTACTGTGAAGTGTGTCAAGCTTATCAATCGACTTGCCTGTCTTGCCTAGTACTCTTCGTCTGACCTACGCATTGCTCGCACAGTGTTTTTATAAAATGTGAGCAATGCTACGAAGAAACCTATGGTCGAAACCCTGTAATGGTTTCATGTGTTTTACTTGTAACGGCCATATCTCACGGCTGTATAAAAGGATATAACAAACTGCAGCGTAATATCCTCGTCCTTTGTTAGGTGGTATCTTGCTAGTTGATGGCACAGGTAATAAATTGTCAAATACCAAAAAAGCTTTGTTTGTCCGAGCTGAAATTCCATCAACAACCAGGATGATGGGACTCCCTGGGATAAGTGAAGTGGCGTACGAGTTTTACCCTCTCACTCCCTATCATTAAACTGGGAGTGGTTACAGACCAGTCTTGAAGCATCATGTTGCATTTGACAAGCACGAGACGTATACTAAGGATATTCATTTTACAAACTTTAGGATCAAAATTTGATCTGATAGTGTTGAATAAAGCGATACTATTAAGGATAGAAAGTTGCTATATGAGTTGAAAGTTTGGAGAATAACAAATTAACTAAATAAAAACAGAAAAGGCAGTGAAAGTAAGTTACGTCTAATGATTCACCGTATTGATAAAGTAAGTGAATAGAAGATTTGCTTTTGTATACACAGTTCTGACTCCTACTACTGTATTATTCAAGCTTCACGCTACTGTTCAGTAGTTCATTTTTGATATTTGTTTCTTTACTTCTCTACTGTTCATTCGTAGAATATTATTCATAAAGTTGTTACCAGATTATTAATGGGGATGAGTTTTTTGCTTTGAAATACTTTTATTTCAGTCTAATGGTAAACTGGCGGTTTTCTCGTGGTGTCGAAGATCAAACCAATGCATTCCTAACAGGCTTTGAAGATGTTTTCCCGCTACAATGGTTACAATACTTTGATGAGCGAGAATTAGAGGTGAGAACGTTTTATTCCGTATTACAATAATTGACAATGAGTACTACTGCTAAACTATGGTAGTTTTTCAATGGCTAAGCCGTTTTGATGTTTGGACGAGGTGTGACAGAGGTCACATATTTTCCTTGGAAGACCAGCAGTGTCATGCTTACGCTACCTACCCTATAGGAATGCGGCTTCAGAAAAGGTTAGACCGAAAATTGCAGACTCCTTTCTATCCTGCAGCGTACCAGTGCCAGCGATATTGACTCATAGGCGGAGTCGAAACTAACAAACTTATATTTTGCATTCCTACAAAGCCTATGTGTGACCAGTCTCAGCAGATATGTACCTTGTGACCTATAGTCACACTCTAACCCTTCTTTAACAGGTACCCCACGAAGAACTTATCCTCCATGGTGTGGGCAGCCGGCAAATGTCAGCTGTCCTCACAGCTTCGTCAGTACTAAGTTTCACTTATTATTGATAGAATGGTTGTAAGATTAACTGTATCATGGAATATGTGTGTCGTCTGTTGAGTTAGTTGTGTCTGGCTGACATACTGAGGGTCGGGTGTACTACGCATTAGTTTCCTTTGTTCAACTCTATAATTGTAAACTATTTTCATTAGAGGTGGAAGATACAAGAACACGTTACGTGTTTGACTACTGCTGTCAGCATAGCATAGACTTTCTGTCATCGTACCTCGAAATCAGTAATCTTGAAGTCAGACACAGCTTAAATTAAAGAGGTTAGTTGATGCTGATGATGATGATGAAAATCGAAGCTTCAACAACCACTTACACGTTTATGCAGTAGGCAATAAGCTACACATATTGTGTGAGGACTAATGACACTATATAGTTGCTCAGTTCTTAGCAGGTAGGGCGGGGTTCGAACCCGTAACTTCACCCACTGGAAGTTTAATAAATAGACCGATGAATTATAACTCAAATGACTGGGACATGTTTCACGCATGTTTAGTCACCATCCACATCATCTTGTAATGTCAACTGAACTAGGTTCAGGTGGGAAAAGAAAATATGAGGTCGCATTAAACGTCATTAATTTCATGCAGTCTCTGACTTTAGGTTTGAATCATACAGAAAAATATAGACTTCCCAGTTACAGTTGGTATTTAGAGACTATAATTTCACGTTTTAAAACTTTCAAAACATGATAATGATTCGACTTCGTATTGACGAAAAAATACGCCACTCAAAGCTTTATAGTAGGCTCGAAATAAACTTAAAGTCTGTATTTTGAAAATAAGATAAAGTAAAACTTGTGCAGTGTGGTAGAATGTAATTCAGTTTTTATTGCATTATTACGCTTATCAGACAGTGTAACAGTATTGTTTACTGGATTACGTTCCGGACATAATTTATTGTACATAGTCACATTGTATACTCTTAAGGTAGCAACACAGTTATCGATAGTGGTAATAACAGCAACAATAATAGTAGTAATAGTGTTGATAAAGATGTTAATAATAGTAGCGGCAATACTGTGAATAGAGACTTCAAAAACTCTAAAGTATTAATATAAAAAGAAGGCACCTAAGAAACACTACATAGAATTCTCAATGAGGCTGCGATTACAGTGGCATTTAAACCTACAAACTCACTTCGAAATAAGCTTTGTAGGTTAAAAGATCCTATTGACCCAATTAAGCAGAATAACTTAGTTTACCAAATCCCTTGCAACGATCGAGAGGTCAAATATATAGGTCAAAGTAGTCAACCAGGGTCAATTAGGCTATCCGAACACAAAAACTTAGCTAGGTCAAAATTGGTAGATCCTAATAAGGTAAGTAATTTAGAAAAAAAACTCAGCCATAGCTATGCATGCGATTACACAACCAAACAATAGGATCAGAATAGGGTGAAAATTCGTAAAACTAACATAACACGGTGGAGGGAGAGATTGATAACTGAATCTTTGTTTAACATAGGTGTAAAACTTGGGCACTGTGCTGGAATTTAACTCCATATTAGATTTGTTTAGGGTTAGGGTTACTACTGTCTACAGAAAACCAATACATTCCAACAGGCATCTAGACTTCAAATCATCCCATCCAATGTTAGTTAAGGCAGAATTAGTCAAATGTCTGAATGATAGAGCTAGAAAACTAACTAATCAGAGCAAGAACCTAAACAAGGAATTGAAATACATAAAAGAAGCGCTAATAGTTAATAATTATCCTCCGCAGTTCATTAAGAAATTCTTACGGACACACAAAAAAACGAAAAAATAACAGTCACATGAGTGCAACTATTAACGACAACACGAGTAAAATCTTCACAGCCTCCATTGTGTTACCCTATGAGGAGGGTACCTCAGAAACTTTACATGGAATCCTCAACAGAGCTGGAATTAGGGTGGCTTTTAAGCCTACAAACTCACTCAGAGATAAACTTCGTCGCCTGGCTTAAGGATCCGATAGAACCAATCAAGCAAAATAATCTAATCTATCAAATACCATGTAATGACTGTGAGGTCAAGTATATAGGTCAAACTAGTCGGTCGGGGTCAGTTAGAATAGCCGAACATAGGAATTTAGCTAAATATAGAATGACAGACCTAAATAAGATCAGATGTGGTTTCAGCGAAGAAAAAATTTTCTTTCGACGAAGTCATTTCCTAAGCTGTACATTCGTGAATATATGTTACAGTGGATAGAATTGTTTCCGGTCAGGGGTCAAAATATATTGAATGACGAAAAGAAGTTAACGAATACACATTTGTGTTTAGAGCGGGAAAATAGGAGCTTTCTAAAGGAGCTAAGTGGCCTGAGTTCACGAGGTGTTCTGTTATCGAACTGAAGATGCATTTCCGTTGTCCCTTTGCAAGCCAGGTTGGGTAATGTTTGCAGACACGTTTTACAAGCGGACGCATGGTGCGGCCGATGTACTCAGCTCCACAAGAACAAGTAAACTGGTAAACACATACTGATGTAGCCCAATGCGCCAGCTTGTCTTTCACACATTGACTTAGCTCATTCCAAGAGCTCCTTCAAAATTCTCTACAGGGTTCGGTCAAACCACTCTAAGGGAGTAAAATCAAGGCATCTGTCTGTAGCTGAAGCACCAGCCATCCGGAGGTTCAAACGAGTGTTATGCGTGCAAAAAAAGGTACGTCCAACCTTTATCTTTGCCACAGCCATCATAAAGCCCCGTCTGCCACAGATTCATTTTACCTTTTCATTTATACCTTATTCATTTTTCTACTATGTCATAGGCTGGACCTACATTACGTAATTACAACCTTATTTTCATGATCCCCTGTTTATTCTCATACTCTGTCATAGGTTTATCCGGTATTACATAATCGCAATTTTATCTTCATAACACTTCGTTCAGTTTCCTACTTTGCCATACATTCATCCTGTATTGCGTAATTACATTTAATTTCATAATCCCCTATCTATTTTCCCACTCTAAATACAAATGTGTATTCATTAACTTCTTTTCGTCATTCAATATATTTTGACCCCTGACCGGAAACAATTCTGGAACATTCTATCCACTGTAACATATATTCACGAATGTACAGCTTAGGAAATGACTTCGTCGAAAAGAAAATTTTTTCTTCTCTGTAACCACATCTTGTTTATTCCTATGATCAAATGGGTGTATTCCTCTTTCTAAATAAGATCAATGATCTGGAAAAAAACTTGGCTATTGCTATGCATGCATTAACACACAACCATACAATAGGATGGGATAAAGCCACTGTACTTAAGTCCAATATAATTAGGTAGAGAGAGAGAGATTGATTACTGAATCTGTGTTCATCGAATCAACACGCAACTCATGCAATAGATGTGACGCAACAATACCAGAGATATGGAAAATTTTGCTACCAATAAAAACAAGTCATATGAGGTGACACAACTATAAAAATCAAATGTCGAAAGTAGTGTGACTACATTGATATGATTATGAGTGATGATGATTTATACTGGAAACATCATCAAGTAAATACTACTAGATCACTGTGTGTTATAAATCAAATAAACAAATCTAATATGATTTTTGAGATGAATAGGGATTTTTAATTTAGAAGTAGTATTCATCATGGACTGACATCAGTTGGGGAACCATAAGGTCCTGAGTTCGACCCCCAGCCGGGTCGTGGGTGCGTACTGCTAAGGAGTCCCATACTAAGACGAAACAGCTGTCCAATGCTCAGAGATTTTCAATGGTTCCCCAACTAATGTCAGTCCATGATGAATACTACTTCTAAATCTAATATGAATTTTTGTTAATCGAATCAACACCTAACACATGCAACAGGAATGATTCAGCACCTGTTCCGGATCTATGGCAAATCTTACTACCCATCTCATAAAGAGACGAAGAAATTAGGACTTTATAAAGAATATCTCGAAGTTGTGTAGTTATCTTCATATGACTATGGACAATAAATTCTGTCCGATATGTAATCCAGTAAACAATACTGTTACACTGTATGATAAATCTAATAAATCAATAAAAATGGAAGATAAAGTTTTTTTTTTGTTTGCTTTTTTGTCTTTCATTACTTTTTTAATATTAGGTTTTACTATGCGGCATGCAACAAATTGATGTAGATGATTGGCAAGCGCATACAACGTATAAGAAATACGATTCACGATCTCCACAAGTTGTATGGTTTTGGAGAGTAAGTTAAAGTACAATCTTTTTCCAGTTATCATGATAACTAATGATGATGTCTGATTCAAGATATTTTTTAAAACGATGATTACGTCCTATGATTTTTAAAGTAATTTTTGTATGCATAAGTTTTATATGTGTCTATTAAGCATCAACTCGAGGCATTTTTGTTACGTGTCAGACTGAAGGATGGATTCAATATGGATAATAATAAACAGCCTGTTGTTCAACTTTTCTATTCGTGACAAGCTTAACTGAATTTTACTGTTTCTGTCAATTAATAAAATGACTCTTGGTAGCCTAAATTTTATTCCACTAATGTCTATTTGATTAGGTGTATACATTAATCTACGGTATTTAATCTTTTTATATCTGTTTGTTTTGCCACTGTCTATCTCAGTGCATGATGTTAGTCGAGGTTGTGATTGATTTGGACGAAGAGTAACGAAGGTAAGACCAGAATATGACACTGATTCGTGAAGTCTTTGGCTGTTGGTTTGAGGCATGAAGGATGGTGTAAACTACTTATTTGAGGCCTTAAGGTTAAGATACTTAGATAAAGTCAACGTAGAACCTTTCACACAAGCGCACCGGTTCATGATGCCACACCTCACAGAGTGATATCAAAATAAATGAACTTGAAGATAACGGTAAGCGCGAATACTCAACCTTAGATGACGTCAAAGAGTGAATAAATCTGTGCCATTGTGACTGACATTCAGCCATGTCACCAAGAGTCCTCAAGCATTGATTTCTTCCGTCTTGGGGACCTCACCCAGATTGTTTACACCTCTTCTCACTACTGAAACTAGTAGTCAGAGACTTCATGCACTGATACCACTTCTTGGTTTAGCTACCCTATACCTTCTCCCAACCTAATCCAACTTCTGCTAGCGTTGCACGTTGGGTTAGCATGCACAACGCATGTTCGATCCACCTCAGTCGATAAAAGTCCTCAACTTCATCGGTTGACTTACCTTCCTTGCCTAGTACCTTTTTCCTGACCTCAACATTGCTCACATGATGCTTCCACCAAACGCGAGCAATGCTAAGAAGACACCTGTGATCGGAAACCTGTATTTATTTCATTTTTTTCTACTTTAACGGCTATTTCTGACAGACAGTCGTATACTAGGACAGAGCGAACTGAGACACAGTACCCTCATCCTTTAATAGGCTGTTGGCACCACAGTTGATACAGGTTGACAAATACCAAAAAAGTCTTCTGTATCCGCGCTGAGATATTGTCAGCAATTAGTCTGTTCAGGTTCATACAGCTCCCCAAGTTAGTGAATTGGACTAGGGATAATCTGAATCTTCGGTTGAAGAAAGATTCTTAGCGACATGTATCAAAATCTACCACAATGATGTAGTTCTATTACACTCTTTGTCATCTTTTAAGTCTTAAATATTCTCATCAACCTTCGTATATTTTTTTCTATCACCTTTCATACACCTCTGCCTATCTAAGTATCTCTGGTTGTTCATAGCCTTATTCTTTGTTGCACCCTTCTGTGTATTGTGGCAACAAGAACAAAGTGTATGGACTTTTGTCTCAGGTTGTGAACTTTAGCCGACTGAGATGGGTTGGAAATATACTGCATATGCTAATCCACCACCTACTTCGACTTGCTATGCCAGGGGACGGGGCTTGGATTAAGTTAGAAAATGGTTTAGGATGGCGAGACTAAGACGTACCACTAGTCATGAACTCCCTAACTGTTTGTCTGAGTCTTTTGGCGAGTCGCAGGCTATCTGGGGTCATGGAGACTATAGAAATCAATGGTTGAGGATTCTTGGTAACACTTTTGGAAATCGATCACAATGGTGCTGATGTATTCACTCCTTGACATCTTATGAAGCTTGTTTATTCGCGCTAACTTTTATCTTCAAATTGTTCATTCTCTCACACAACGTTTTGTACTGTGATATCACTTTTTCTTCCCATATATTCTTTGTATACTACTGCGAAGCGAAGTAACTTGAACCGATGGAGTTGTGTGCGAGGTTCTACGTTGAGTTTGTTTGTCTGTCTGCATTGTTGTGCAACGAACACAGTGTATTTGGATAGGTAAAACGACGTTGAACCTGACGTTGATTCAAGTTAACGCAGTACAGAACTTCACTCAAAGAACAAATGCATATTTTAAGGTAGTTAGAGTTCAATGAATTAATTCCTGGATTTTAGTGAGTCGCTCACTTCTCATTTTATTCTTTCCACCAATGTTGTCTCTGTACTAATTACTTTTCAACATGAACAAGGGATAAAATTTCACTTAAAGTGTATCGCCTTAAGTAGGTTACTGTCTACACGAAACGTTACTTAAAGTGACTTATTTCCTTAGTGATTTGAATGTCAATCAAGCAGGCGTTGAAAATCTGTATACGTTTAACTGCTCTTGTACGCTTATCCTAAAACTCTTCTAAGGTATGTATATCTATAAAACTATTCGGTGTTGAAAACAACTCACCAGCATTCGTGTTTGCCAGAGGGTGCTCTAGTCAATATCCTGCACAAAAAGATGTGGTCATCAACTGTTTTTTTCCATCAAATGCCTTTCATAATTGATTGCAGGTTGGAAACCACGGAGCACTGGACAACTGTTTCATCCTAGTATGGAACTCTTCAGAAGTGTGCGCTCTTGACGATACCCTGCAGCGATCGAACCTGGGGCCTTAAGGTTCCGCGGTCAGCGCGTTACCATTGAGCTAGTGGGTCAGAATTCAATGGTCCCTATATCCTACTTCCGTCAGTTCATATAGCGCGACCACAAGTCTTCGGAACTCATCGGTTAGCGTAGCTTTTTTGATTAAGTAGTTAAAATATATGAATATAGGAATCCCTGGTGGGGTCGTCGGTGCGCACTGCTGTGGACGAAACAGCTATCAGTGCTCTCATTTTACTCCGACTGATGTCAGTCCTTGATGAACACCAACCTGAAATTAATAAATCCTCACAAACCTCCAAATTGAAATAATCTAGTGCTAATTGGTGACTAACTTCGAGAGGTGATTCTCGAAGTTCCAATGGAAAGTCGTGACCAGTGGGGCCAACCAAGCAAAACATAAGGACAGTTACTCAACGACGGCATTGGATGGAGATTGGGCTGTATTATGAATTAACAGAAATAGGAAATACAGACCATCAGATTCCGACCCAGTGGCTCAGTAGTAATGTACTGCTTGAGGAACTGCAAGGTCCCGGGGTCGACCACTGGAAGGTGGGTTATGGATGCGCACTGATGCGGAGTCCCATACTAGGACGAAGTGGCTGTCCGGTGCTCTGAGGTTTTCAGTGCTTCTTCAACTAATGTCAGTCCATGATGAATACAAACCCCGAACTTGATGTAACTGATGATTGTATAAATCACTCATCAACATCTACCAATCTCTCCAAACCACTATTGAACGACTATCCCGTACTGAGTAGGAACTTGCTTTGAGATGGATTTTCTGAAGTTCTAAGTGAGAAACTGTGACCTGTAAGATTAACCAAGTTGATGGTAAAGAGAAATACTCATAGATGGCATTGAATAGTGATCGTGCTGTACCGCGGATTTATAGAAGTTAGGAAAATGTTGATCATCGTGCCTCAACGCATTGGCTGGATGGTAACTTATTCGTCGCCAGACCTGACATTCGTAAGATTGATTTCTTATGGCATCATGAATGCACTCTACCGAGTAATCCCGAACTAGGGTCTGCAAATTTTCAATAGTTTCCTAACTGATTGGTGAGAAAAAAATTATCTGTTTAGTAAATTCTTATTGAGTAGCAGTAGACCAGAAGAGTAGTTTAGATAGTGTGATAAACGATATATATACGACGGATTTCTTGTACTCATTGTTTCCTTTAGTAATAGAATTTTCCTAATCTCATTACTTATCACATGTCTTGAGTGTGTGCTGGATGAGAATAGATTCAGCAATCAATGTTCTACTCAATCTGATTAAAATGGCGTTTAATACAGTTGCTTTCTTGCATCCTATTGTATGGTTGTGTCAGTGAATCCATTATAGTATTTGGTTTTACCTGTGTTATATTAGTCTTTTTTAAGTTTATATGATCAAATAGCTTAACACATCCCGATCAACAGAATGGTTTGACCTTTCTCCTTATCTTCATAGTCATTGCACAATAGTTGGTAGATCAATTTCATTGTTGTCTATTTAGGTCTAACAGATCTTAGACCTGTGAGTTCATAGTTTTGAGTTTCGAAAGTATTTCCCGGCTTATTAAGAATCATACATTAAGTTTTTAATGTTGCCTGTTGGTATAGTAACACTGGAGGTGTTGGTGCATTCGAACCTACGAACTCATTCTAAGAGATGGGAAGAAGTCACGTTTATAGATCAAATGAGCCGCTTGAGGTTAGCTAGACTGGCAGACCTAAATTTAGAATGATAGATCCCAACAGTATAAATAATTTACGATAGATGTAGGCGGTACATTCACTACTGAAGTTGTTTGTAGTTCGAAATACACTCAGTAATCTAGTTCACATTTGTGCAACAGGTAATTAATATTATTATTATTATTATTATTATTATTATTATTATTATTATTTGTCTTTTGGGTATCTAGTGGAACAGAGGGCTTCAGTAGTACATCTCCAGTGCACTCTGTTTTCTGCAAACTTTTGAGCCTGGCTCCACGACAGCCCACAAGCTCTCATTTCTTGCTCACACTATCTCCATGTCACCCTCGCCTCGGACACCCAACCGGTCGTTTCCCATCTGGGTTCCACTTGAGGGCTTGGTGTGTGATGTCTCCGAATAGTTTTCTCAGTATATGGTCAATCTAATCCATCTCCACTTTCTTCTGCCTATTTGGTGAGCGATAGGTTCTTGGTTGGTTCGTTGCCAGTCAACCAGAGTTCCTTGTTGCTTATTTTCATTATTCTGGTCATCTGATCTTCAGTAACGAGTCAGCGTAGGCAGTTGTTGGTGAATATCTGTAGTTTGCTGGAAATACCTCTCGTAACGCGCCAAGTCTGTGAGCAATACAGAAGCACTGACTTGACACTGGTGTTGAAAATCTGGATCTTATTCTTTACGCTGAGTGCAATAGATCTCCACACTGGTTTCAAGTCAATGAACGCCTGTCTTGCTGGCTTTCCGATCATGGTTTTGACATCCTCATCTGTGCCGCCGCCTGTAGTTGAAACGATGCTGCCTAGATAGGTGGAAGAGACCACCTCCTTTAAGTTTCTCTCGTTAATGGTGATTGGTGCTTGTTGTTGTTGTTGGTTGGGTATCTTCATCACCTCTACCTCTGTCTTCTCTATATTCACTTGAAGTCCCGTTTTCGCTGCCCTGCCTCTTCTGCGAACTTGTTAGTTTTCACCTGTAGATCTTCGAGTTTGTGCGATATTAGACAAAAATCATCATCGGTGAAATCCAAATCTCCTAGGGTCTTTTCATCGGTTCAGCGTATACCCGTCTTCTCGCTCCTCACAGCTTACCGCATGATCCAGTCGACCACAATCACGAAGATCATCGGTGATAGTAGGCAACCTTCTCTTACTCATGTCCCCTGTCTTCACTTCAAAGGCATCACTGAGCTTTCCATTTTGAATCACTTGGCTTGTGACATCTTCGTATAGCTGTTGAATGAGGTTGATAAAGGTTTTGGTATTCCGTAGTGTTGAAGCAGCTGCCTGCCAAATTACTTCTCGGTCGACGCCGTCGAAGGCCTTTTCAAAGTCGATGAATTTGAGTTAGCGAGTTGACTGCCATTCTACACTTTGTTCTTTGATGATGCGTAGCGTTGCGTTGTAATTTGATCCGCACGTGACTTGTTCTTCCTGAAGCCAGCCTGTTCCGGTCGCAATTTTGAATCCAGGTCATCCTTTAGTTTCTCCAGGATGATGCGGCTCAATATTTTGCTTGCGGTGGGTAAGAGTGTGATTCCGCGCCAGTTCTTGCAAACACTTAGGTCGCCCTCCTTCCAGTCGCCACGTACTTCTCCTTCCTTCCAGACCTTCTGCAGTAGTGGTGTGAGCATGTCTTCTGTTGTCTCTGAGTCTGTTTTCAATGCTTCTGGTGGAATTCCATCTGGTCCTGATGCTTTCCTGAGTTTCGGCAGTTTTATGGCATTCAGAACTTCAACTTTCATCGGAGGGCTTGTGTTCACTGGTAGTTCTGTGTCTGGGCTGCAGGTGGTATTTTCGGAAGAAGTGCAGGTGGTGGTCGATTCAAGAGATTTTGAAGTAGTCAGCCCATCGTTCCCTTTGTTTCTCTTCTTTGGTAACTGGCTTTCCTTCACCATCTTTCATTGGTTTCATCTGTGTTGATCTCTTCTAGATAGTAACCTGGTTATTTGATACAATGTTGTCAGGTCTCTCCTACCAGCAGCAGCCTGTTCTGCTTCACTTGCCAGTGTATCATGGAAGTATCTTTTGTCTTTGCACACACTCTTCTTCACTTCTCTATCCATTGTAGTGTCTTTTAGGTTGTGTTCAGTTCCTCTTTTTGTTGTGCATCCGTGCACTGATTTATTTTCTGCTTCACCATCCTCCTCTCCTCTATCAGTTTCCATGTGTCCGTTGAGATCCATTGCTTGTCTTGCATCTTCTTTCTTCCTAACACGGCTACGCAGGTTTCTTTCCACATCTCTTTCAAAGAGTTCCAGTGTTCTTCCACGCTTGTTCCTTCTGGGATGTTGCTCAATGTCTCCCATTTTGTCCTGATGACTGACTAACGTGAAGATGTCCTTTGTAGTTTCTTCCTTCAGTTCATTTTCTGTTCTGGGTAGTGAACATGAACTGTGGTCTATCACCAACTTCTTTGAAGGCTTTTAACTTGATTTTGAAGGTTCATTGCACTAGATAGTGAGTGGTCTGAACCTACATCTGCTCCTCTTCTTGATCTGATCTTGTGTCCAGTAGGCTGCGTCTCCATTTTCTTCATATTGGGATGAAGTCGCTCTGATTTTTAGTGTGTCCATCTGGTGAAATCCATGTCGCTTTGTGGATATCCTTGTGCTTGAACAATTCTCCATTCTCGTTCATCACCTGACCGAGCGCTTCCCGGCCCGCTTGTAGTTGAAACGATGCTGCCTAGATAGGTGAAAGAGACCACCTCCTTTAAGTTTCTCTCGTTAATGGTGATTGGCGCTTGTTGTTGTTGTTGGTTGGGTATCTTCATCACCTCTACCTCTGTTTTCTCTATATTCATTGAAGTCCCGTTTTCGCTGCCCTGCCTCTTCTGCGAACTTGTTAGTTTTCACCTGTAGATCTTCAAGTTTGTGCGACATCAGACACAAGTCATCACTGGCAAAATCCAAGTCTTCTAGGTTCTTTTCAGCGGTCTAGCGTATTCCCCTCTTCTCGCTGCTCACAGTTTGTTGCATGATGCAGTCCACTACAATCAGGAATGTTATGGGTGGTAGTCGGCTGCAGCCTTGTTTCACTCCTGTCTTCACTTCAAAGGCATCACTGAGCTTTCCATTGTGAATTACTTGGCATGTGGTGTCTTCATATAGTTGTTGAATGAGGTAATGAGCCACGCCTATTGTGTGAGGGCTAATGCTACTTCGTGACTGCCTACACCTTAGTAGGTTTGAACGGGCGTTCGAACTTGTGACCCAATGAACCATATTTCCACAGGTTTTTGTATAACTTAAGGCGAAGAAAACTATGAAAAGTATGCCTTAATAGCCATCCACTTGTTTTGTATTGTAGGTACTTTACAACTGTTATTTATTTGAAAGAAATAAAGTAAATAGAAACAGTGTTAGACACTATAGTATATTTTACTCAATGTATGTACAATATATTTTCTATACTGTGTGTATACTGTCAAACTAATTTCCATGGAATTTTTTGTTAATAATGAAATATAGTTTGTTCGAGGATTGACGCAACAAAAGCGTATTCGATTATTACAATTTGTGACTGGCACATGTCGTGTTCCCGTCGGAGGATTTAAAAATCTTATGGGTTAGTCTCTTATTCATATTACAATTTATTACTATGACTCTCTTCTGGATTTCATCAATTACTTGAGTCAGTCTTTATTTTACTTTACTCTGACATTTTTCCGTTTTTAATTTTTATGTTAAAGTCTACCGTCATAATGTGCTAATCACATTTTGTATTCTGAAGCACAACAGTAGAGATTTCAGTAGAAAAGGTTAACTAATTGATAAGGTTGTGAAGCTTCAGCGACTTAGATGACTGGTACATGTGGTACGCATGTCTAATCACCATCTACATCGTCTCACATTGTTAGCTAAAGTAGCCTCGGGCTTGAAAAAGGGTTGAACGCAACCAGACTTAAACATGGCGCCAATCTATGAAGTCTATAACTGTTGTTCTTAACCGTATGACGAAATGTAAACTTCCTGGACCAGTTGACCTAAGAAAGACGGTTGCTTTCATATATTATCTTCATGTTAATACTGAGTTTCGTTATTGTTGAATTATTTCTTCATCTTTTAAGTTAAGTTTCAATACTTCACGTAATCGGTCACCTCTTGTTTGCGTGCTGACTATTGATTTTTCAATAATGTGTACTAATGTGTAGATGATTAAAAGTTTGACACAAATTTTCAATACGTCTTTTTTGTAAATTTGAAAAAAGCAAACGTTTTTTAAAAAGTTGTCTTAAAAAATGTAGAAGAAGCTTGTACTAAAACGATGTGTACTTGATAATCATAAGTGTTTGTAAAGACTTAAAAATGAGCTGGGTGCTTTTTCCTGTCTATTCAGTTGTAAAGAACATTTTCCGAGGTTTTGACGGAAACATCAACATTATCGATTGGTAGGAAGCCTTTTTCTACCTGGGTTTCCTGCTTGTTGGCACTCGTCAATAAGGTGTATCTGCTACCTCGGAGAAACTGATGTCCTGGTTGAAATTCGAAACCCCGTCACCCAGTGTTGCAGTTAGCCAATACTATTCCGCACGAAATGTAGGTCCAGGACTTCCTACTGATTGCTCCTAACTAAATAAAATCTACCAAAGTGTACAGCGGTGGTTGGTCTCCTAGCTTTTTAGCCGCAATAATCAATAAGATTCGGTCAGCGCTTAGAACTAGACAACATGAAACTGCTTGCTTGGCAGCGACCACCCATGTTAAGCAAAAATCCTCATAGTCGTGTTCTATTCACGTAACTCCTCTAACTAGTCAATGAATAGTACCGTGACTGTTTTGATCTGCGTTTGTTTCCGATTATTCACTCTTGATTACTTTTTCTAATTAAACCCCTTCGTATAAAACTTCAGACATTTTTTATTATCATGGTGTCTTTGATTCATTCACTTTCTCGAACAGCCAGTCTGCGTATCATGCTGTCAAATGGGTGTTTGATTTTTTGTTGGTTGCTATACTGGACTCCTGCAGCGATGATTCACTTATAGTAACATTTTTCTCAGCTCTTTTTGTTAACTACAAGCCTATTGTTATACATATATGTAAATAGGGCTAGATTTTTTAAAAAAATAAATGGACCGAAATCAATTTGGCTACAAAAGGTGTAAAGTACTCTTTGAAGTTGAATGGCTTTTAATTTCGGAATGATATGCTCAGTTTCATACATGGTTACATATTATAGGTAATTATTTAGTCATTTATCTGTGTAGACCACAAATTCGATACAGTATAAACACTAAAAAAATGTTTCACGCTAGATAATGCAATAACATTGAAAAGACATAGAAGTAATCTGCAAGGAAATAAGCAAAAAGGCAACTCGATTATCAAGGTAGCAATCTATGGATACCCTCAGATAAGCGCTACTCACCATTGTTGTAAATTTTGATAGCAAAATAAAATAGGCTATCGTATGATCATCAGTGGTGTCGATTTTAAATCAAATGTAGTGTGGTTTCGAACTCTATCGAGAGAGTTGTCACGCATCCAACAGGCTACTGAGAGCTTTGTTAAGCTGCAATGATGAATCAAGTAAAGGAATCCTATCTACCCTTAAGAGAAGTGGTTATTCACTCTGGCTTTATCTGAGCTGCTTTTATTATTTTTTGATAATTTAAATTCTGGTTTGTTAAACTGGATCGGATTGATCCACCTCTATTGGCCTAGTGGATGACGCTTTGGTGTTTAAAGCGATGAGCACTAGGTTCGAATCTCAGTGGGAATAACATCACTCATTGGGGTGCAGGTGTACCCAGCTGACGAGTCCTAAATAGGACGAAACTTACGTCCTAGATTCCACCGCTAGCCACAACCAAGTTAACCATCACAATAAGGTGTTTCTGTTTAGAACTTTCAGAATCTTAACTAATGCCTCATTGACACTCTGACAAGTTGCCACACTTCACAATATTATATTCAGAACACGTGGATAGAAAGAGTGATATCAAAGTACGCAAAGTTGTTTGGGAGAATAACTAATTTGAAGATAAAGGTTAGTGCGAGTATTCAAGTTTTAAAAAAAATGTCAAGGAGTAGACGTAGTCCTATCTAACAAACCAAGGATAGTTTTGATTACCAGCTTGTTATACATTTAACAATGCTTGAGCATCTGATGGAGGGTGAATTCATGGTCACTGCACTCATGATATGAACGGATCTCAATCTATTCCTCATGAAACAGTTTTTACTGCGTTCTGTAAGTCTTACAGAGTATTATAGTAGTGAATATTTGGGATACAACTGATAACTGATTAGATATCCCGATGATTATCAGCGAACTAGTATGAATCCTTTTTCATAATGTTAATGGTAATGACCTGATTTCAAATTGATGAAGCACTCTTATTGTCCTACACTTGAAATAACCTAGTTAGTCCCGTTACTTTAATTTCATCTACACTCTTGGAAGGAGCTTTTGGACCTTAGTACTTTCAGTTTCCGGTCTTCCGCTTCCTCTAGTGACTCATAGTCAACTAAGCATGTGGTTAAGAGGGGTCTCCACTGTAGCAGTAGATCAGCTAAATAGCCATTCAAAGTTCTCTGCTAGGCGCTCCATATATAGTTGAAAGGTTTTAATTGTTATGCCACCTACCTAACGATCATTGTCATTGACATCCGAGTATTACAAGATGCAGATGCTACTTCCAACTGGCCATTCACTTCATACTCTTCAGTGAATCAGTTTGTATTTTCATGGATTTCGGCATCTAAGTTACCTTACTTGACATCAGCACGTCAATATGCAAGTAAATGTGGTCAACATAATCAAAAGCTATAAGAAACAATGGGAAGAGAATAAGATTGGTTAGGACAGATTAGGAAAGATGAGATAACAGTCAAGATGAAAATGAAATGTAAATGCATTTATTGCCCCTGTTCCGAGATATATTACTCCGATAATTGTTTTCGGATGTATCTTGGGCATCAAACTGAAAGCCCATACTTCCTTGCACAGTTGAGATTAGTAATCAGAAACGTCAGCTTGTGGCACGTCTTAGTCTGACCACTTTTACCCCTTCCCCAACCCATTGATATTCGAGCTTCCACCAGGCTCCAAACCTGGACAAGAGTGCATCGATGAGGTCATCACACTTTAACAAATTCTACAGCACAGATTTGCCTAACAGCGACTGCATTTCGCAATCTTTTTTACCTGGAACGTGGTGTTCAACTGTGGCAACTAAAATGTTGTGTTATCGCCTGATTTTAAAATGAGTGCGGAGGAAACATATTAAGCTAATTAAAGCTCTCTCTCTCTCTTCGAAATCGTATCGCCTTGAAGGGGTTTATGTAGAGTTGTCTTGTGAAGTAATAACAACCACTGGTGCCCACCAAGAATACCGATTGTCACCATTCCTGTTCAACTTTCTCGCAGATGTACTAGTTGATGTGACCTATGTGTAACTGCGACTTTACAGAGATTGATTTTCTCCCGGAAGGTCATCTGGGGAACCAGAATCATTTTGTTTCCCTGGTTACCAAGTTAACTAATGTGTGGTAGCATAGTGTGTCTTATCAAAATAGAACATATAATTATACCATTTTTATGAGTTAATACTCTTATTATTACTTTTTGGTACTTGTAATCAACCGTTGTTGTACTGGGTGTAATCGACTGACCTCTTATGGCGTATGCGCTCCTATGCGGATGCCTCGACACTGATTGGATATTTATTGTTATAATTAACTTGGTTTCAGCTAGCAAGAGAACCCAGGACGTTCCCTGTCTGATTTGGGTCTCATCGACTGGTTCCATCTGGATTAAGTCAAATTATAGAAATAATTATTCAGGAACACTCGAGGCATCCACACATGATCTCATGCACCAACAGAGGTCAATCAATTCTGTCCAGCCCTAAACGGAGAATTAAAAGCATCAGCAAATTATACTAACTAATACCCATTGTACAAAAGATGGATGTGGTGCCTCAGTGGCCTAGTGGATAAAGCTGGCGTTTGAAGCGATGAGCACAAGGTTTGAATCTCAGTGGAAGTAGCGTCACTCATTGGAGTGCAGGTGCATCCAGCTGACGAGCCTCAAATAGGACGAAACGCACCTTTTGGCTTCCATTGCTAGCCATAATTGAATCGGTTAATACTCCTTATAAGAATTTTTCTATACTGTACTGAAATTGAATGGATTATTAGTAGTTACCTACTGTCGTTTCTCTATCTTATACATTTATGCTATTATTATGTTAATTTTAGCGACTGATTTGTTTCATTCAATATGATTTAACGTGTTTGGTAGAAATTGTTCCAATCAATTTCAAAATTGCTTATTGCTGTCAGTATAATTAGTCATATTGCTGCTATTTTTGTCCTGTGTTTATTTAAGTAAGGTAGAAATAGTCATTTCACTGTGCTACTCTTTTTTATGGATAAAAGCGAAACTATTTGAAAAATCTGTATATTTGACTTGTTCTACGTGTATATTGTACATGTGTGTGTACTGGTGAAGTTCTTTTCGTTTACTTACACTTTTTGAAGCGTGATTATCAATTTTTGAGGATATGTTTATAAGTATGAAAGTGTGTAATGCTAATACAAAGCTATCTATCCTAAATCCAGTGGTTAGTAAACGCCAATGGATTTTCGCAACCCTCATGTGAAAAGACTTACAACACCTGTTTCCAGCCACAGTCAGGAACAGAAGCGGTTCAGATGTAAATTAAGTTTTTTCGTAATGATTGCGAGCAGAGGTGGATGGTGAAAGCGGGAGAAATGGAAAAGGCATCACTAGGTAACTGTCGGCGATTTCGGGATATTAAGGATACCCTCAAGAAGATGATGGTTAGTCAAGCCACCATAGTAAGGGATGTGACGCTGACAACCTCTGAGAACTAACCCCTAGAGTGTTGGTCAGAACACTTCGAAACAGCTCAACTAGCTCACAGCCATGCTTCAGTGTCTCACTACCTATTTCTAACCTGAATGGATGTAAATGTTGGTCCTCCAACTATGATCCAAGTTGAGAAAGCTACTTCAAATGTTAGACGATTTCAAGCAACAGGTTGTGAAGATTTGCTACCCGAATTTTGAACGATGGAGTAGGAAATTACTAATTGGAGTTAGAGGTATTTCCATTAAACTTGTCTATTTCATTTATGTCAATCTATAAGACATCCGCAGAGGAATCAGCTAAATTAACATCGTAACTAAGATCCTTGGATCCATAGTTATGGATCTCGAGAAAACTAGGCAGGTTTCAGACGTAGACATGGGTGCACCGATCATATATTCACGCTATGGTCGGTTCTGGAACACAGACACACTTAGTGGTCAACGTTTTACTGCCACCTATCGCCACTGCCTTTTTCGTCTCTTTTGCTTTCCACCACTGTTCATGGTCGTTGTGAAGATTATCTGTCAATCTACATTTGAGTTACTTCTGCTCCTCATTGTGCTCGGAGCTTGCAGGGATGCGCTCGCGTGTGTCTATTAATTCCGGAGGAGCTGCTAAGATCCATTGGCATCCCTTTTTAACCACTCTATGAAAGTTTACTTTTATCTTTAAGTGTATTTTCACTGCATACTGAGGATGGTGCCAGGCCTCTTTGGGATGAATGATACTGTCGTGCTGCGATGAATGTCTAACCAGTTTCACATTGTTGAGCTTCTCTTCCGGGACATAAAAAGCCTATACCTCTGCAACCGGAGTAATGTGCTATTTTCTTAGTCAACCTTTTCCAACGTCCTCTCTTCGTATTATTATTATTATTATTAGTCCCTTGGGTTCCTAGTGGAACATAGGGCTTCAGTAGCACGCCTCCAGTGACCTCTGTTCTCTGAGATCTTTTGAACCTGGTCCCACGACAGCCCACAACTTCTCATTTCCTCCTCGCACGACCTCCTCCATGTCACCCTCGGACGTCCAACTCGTCGCTTCCCATGGGGGTTCCACTCGAGGGCCTGACGCGTGATGTCCTCAGTCGGCCTTCTCAGTGCATGCCCAATCCATCTCCACTTCCTCCTGCATATTTGTTGCGTGATAGGTTCTTGGTTGGTTCGTTCCCAGAGCTCCTTGTTGCTTATTCTTTCTGGCCATCCCCACTGATCTTAAGTAGCGAGCGTAAGCAGTTGTTGATGAATGTCTGTAGTTTATTGGAAATGCCTTTCGTGACGCGCCAAGTCTCTGAGCCATACAGAAGCACTGACTTGACTGGGTTGGTGTTGAAGATCCGTATCTTGTTCCACATGCTGAGTGCAGAAGATCTCCACACTGGTTTCAGGCTAATGAACGCCTGTCTTGCTTTCATCGGCGAAATCCAAGTCTTCTAGGTTCTTTTCCGCAGTCCAGCCAGCGTATCCCCTCTTCTCGCTGCCTACTGTTTGCTGCATGATCCAGTCCACCACAATAAGGAATATCATGGTCTCTTCGTATAGGGAAGTAAAAACGGTTGGTAACGCGATTTATCAAGTTTCACTATTTCATACCATATTTCCACGCATAACTTGTTTTTTTAAAACATTTTTATTCATATAGGAAATAATGGTCCACAACCATTTTGTATCGAGTACATTGGTAAAGAATCCTGGCTACCGCGCAGTCATACGTGTTTCAATAGGCTGGATTTACCACCTTATCGATCCTATGAACAGTTAGCTGAGAAGTTATCTTTTGCTATTGATGAAACTGAAGGTTTTGGACAAGAATAAAGTTGTTTTTATTTTTCCTGTTTCTTCAAAATGAAATAGTTCGCTGTGCCTTTTAGAATAGGAAGATTGAACTATTTTGTTTCATGATTAATTACGAAGCTAAACAGTTGATCTTCCTTCTTCTTTCTTTTTTATTTTCCAAAGAGTCTCAAATAAATCCTTGCCTATTATTGTTCAAAGCATTTGTTGCTGTTTTTTTGACATGTGAGTGTATGTGTAAGTCAGAGATTTATCTATCGTTTCTGCTGGAATGTTTGAATGTTAAACAAAGTCGTTTTCACTCTCCAATCCACGACGTCTTCTACAATGTAATCATCCAATAAGGATTGAACAATGACAGTCCTCTCTCTCTTTTTGTATATGCATAAACAAATTATTTTTTTCTATTTCCTATGTTTAACTATTTGAAGACATTGAAGTGATTAGTCTTCCCTTCAGTTGCTCTGTAAACTAACTAATAACCAATTTATTACATCTGGCTGTGTCATCATATTCTTCACAGGTATCTTGCCCATGTATCTTGTTGGTAACAGCAAGACAACTGTCTTATTTTTATGTCTCAACCGATACTCCTTTTTGTGCATCAGTTAGTTGAGTACAATTTCAGTGGTGTGTTGTACAACTTTTTCATTAAACTAAAATCATGAATCACTTTCTCTCTGTCATCAGCTAAAGTAAACAGTCATTCAACCTTTTTTTACTACTTGGAGACCTCTAGTCTCATTGTATTTCATCCATTCCAACTGTTAACTATCGAATCAATCGACTCCTGCCATTTTGTCGAATTCCATTCAAATTTGTCAATTTACACCTTGAAAAAAGAAATTCATTATATTTTATCAGACTACTTTCAATCTATTGCTTTTTATATTACGTAACTAATTGACACTGAAAGATATGAAAAATTTTCATATTATACTGGTTAATGTATAGTAAATATTGTTTATCTTGACAATTGGTGATCAGAGCGTGTTTGTTGTGTAACGCATGTGTTGTTTCTCTGAATTCTAATAACTATATGCAGTAGTGAAAATAAACACTATAATTACCAGAGAATATTTTAGCTCTTCAAAGTTATATTTTAGCTATCATTCTACATGTGAATAGTTGTAGGGGAAAGCAAACAAATGTTTGCTGTGTAATGTAGTTATTTATAAGATACTGTCATCAGCGTAGCAGCTATCGGTCAAGAGGAACACAACCCACATCTATGGCCTAGGATTCTAGAGTTCTGTCAAGAGATGCCTGCTGTCGCAGCCGCACAAGAAGCGACTATTGTGGCTGGGTGGTTTAGTGGATAACTCTCAAGCGATTGGTCCCGAGTTCGAATCCCGCTGGGAGCAACATCATTCCAGGGAGCCAGGTATATTCGGCTGACGAGTCCCAAATAGGACGAAATGCTCATCCTGGATTCCACTATCCATCATTACCATAGGGTTCTGACGTTGAAAGCTTCAGTCGGAAATCGACAGATGAGTCTTTGGAGACTAGGAATAGGTTTAGACGGTTTTGATTGTTAGCAATCGTCACCGATTGAGAGGTTGAAGTTGTTAGAAGTATCAGATAGTGAAAACAAGACAGCAGACAAAGATAGGAAGGGTAAGGTGAGCTTCGTAGCTTGGTAGTCCACATTGCAAAACGACCGATAGAGTTAGGTTAGCACTCAGGACTAGAAAACATGAAATTGATTGCTCTCCAGTGACCAATCAGTGTATCTAACCCAGTTCTACAGGAGGTTAGTTGCAGCTCGATTAGCTCAGTGTTAATGTCACTGACTGAAATACTCGGTAGGTGGAATGGGGCTCCAACCTATGACCAAATAGTTGATAGACATCTTTCTAAACCACTGAGCCACAGCTCTGCAACTTAAACTGGTGCGTTTTGTTGTTAGGCTTTAAGTTGATTTGTCTTTTGCCTCAAACTGTTTTTGTCATGGATACACAGGATTTGACTTATGTGAGAAGTGCTAAAACCGTTGTAAATCATTTAGTGAAATGAGACACCTGTGTTCCTCCTATCATCATCCAGCGTTTCGGTAACAGCTCTGAGTTAGTCACGCATATGCTGATCTTCATTGTGTAGATGATGTATTGGTGAACTGCAAACAATTAGGAAATATCAAGCAGATTATCTTATATAGCTTTGATTTGACAGACCAGTATTTGTGGATGCTCAGTGATGACTGAAAATGAAATCAGAACCTGCTTCGCGACACCAGGATTTGAGATTGGCCACATATGACGTACTTTTAGGTACTAGTCAACATTTTCGTTGATTCTAACACTATGAAGCTTTTTGAAGTCCCCTGTGTTCTGAGTTTCCTTTGTAGGTCTTCGTCAAATGGAATTCATCTGATGTCTTGATAAGATACCAGTTAATACTTTTCACGTTATACAACTGCATAAAGGTTTATATGCATATCACAACTGGAAGTTCTGTTAGCTTTGTATTCGATTGCCTTCATCACTGTATTATTTCCATCAATACACTGACAACCGTGTGTTCTTAGGGTTAACCATTTATCCTGGATCAATACTTACCATTGAGGGACTAAAGCACAACTCAGTGAGTACTTTAAATTATTCATTTTCCATTCAAATGTTTTACATATCTAATGTATTGATTTTAACCCTAGCTGAAACAGGATGTCGGCTGGTAATTTGTTAGATTGAATGAATTTTTGAGGTTACTACTCATCCCTGACCGAAATCAGTTAGAGATGCATCGAAATTTTAGACCATTGAAGAGCTGTTATGTTATTGTATGGGACTATTCAGCACTGCCCACACATTAGAAATTGTTATGATTTGGAAGATGCTATCGACTGTTGGCCACCAACATTCAACAAATTTCTAGCTGATTCCCAACCCGACTAATTAGTGGAGAAGACAGGATGGACGTGTAGAAACGTGTATTAGGGTCGAAAGACCGAAGGTGACTGATGGGAAAGTTTATTTCTCTGAGAATATAATGAATCCCAAAACGCGTGAATAAGTACACACATGAAAAATGACCATGTCCGCAGTTGGAGGCATTGGCATATTAAGTAAGAGTAAAGATTAACCAATCAGCGAATTACAATGGGGGCAGAAAATAAACTACTAGTCATGCCGTAAAAATGGTGTGAGAATGCCAAGGTAGAAATGTTCAGATCAGTAACAATGTTTTATGCAAATCTAGGGCCTCGCAGCAGGAATCGAGTTCAGGGCCGTCACATTTCAGGTCAAGTACGTCACTATTCAGCTACTGAGTTAAAGTGCGATGGCTAATGCTTCCTTCGTTTCGCGTTAGTTCGCGATATACTCGTACCATCATCATCACTATGAGGCCTGACGATCCAGTGTTCACATTCCCGTGGGTACGCACTGCTAATTGTTATCAGAACATGAACGTGATGCAACATTGGCACCAAGAGGTGCTTCGTATAAAACAGTAAAGCAACATTATGAAGACAGGAAACATAACAGAGAATGAGTTGTTAAAGAAGTATTCTTGAGGATACATTCAAAGAAGCGATCATTACTTTCTTCTTACTTTACAGCCGTGGGAGAAACAATAAAACTGCAGCATTACCCCTACCAGTTTCGATTCCGAGCTATGTCCCCTATTATCTCAAGCTACTGAATAGCTTGACCTCTCGGAATACATCTAGGGAATCGTGAAGCTCCTATAGATGCTAACCTAACACAACTATTCTTCCTATGACGCCACTTCACGCAGTGGTCGCATCTTCACCTTCAACCCTGGCGCAACGCAACAATTTGAGAGCCACTGGGATGCCATGTGTAACACATTTGAGCTACTGAAGTCAGTTTTTCAACCTGACTACATTCCAGGAATTATGATTTCCGTCACGCAAAAACATACCTCATTTCGGCTTACAATTACTTACATAGTATTTTAACCGGATGCTAGCAATCTTGCAGAGACAGCGGTGATCGAAAACGCTGGATCATCGAACATGCCCGACGCGGGGAAGCTAGGTTTCACAGCTGTAGAACGGAATAACCCACCAACGAGTTATATTCTTGACCTTTCACAGCAAGATTTACATCATGACTGTCCCAAATATAGTTGGAACTGGCCTATGCCATATGCTTTCGGTATGCATTCAGGAATCTCATCATTTATACCCTCACTAGTGTTCACATAACTAACCAGGTATACAAACTTTGCGACAACTTCCAGTGTTTTACCACAAAGCGTGAATGCAAGTTTCGACTCTTATCAGTCTTATTGAAGTACCTTGCACTTCGGTGGTGTAGAGCACATATACTAACGGACACTGATTGTCAACTGACTAAGTGGGATTCAAGTAGCCTATGGATTGTTGCACAGTAAAGCAATATTGTCCGCCTACTTGAAGTCAGTAAGTCTCTCCCCTGGTAACATGTTTACAACACTGCCACATATTTGCTTCGAAGCTATCCCTATAATGTCATCAAAGACAAAGTAAAAGCGAGATTGGGAAAATTTACCTGACCCATGCCGTTGGTTAGGAACAGTGATGACACGTGACCCATGCCTTCACTCTACGTGAAGTGTTGAAGTATAGGAGGTTGAAGTGGCTAACAAACATCTCTAACACACAGCTTCAGAGTGCAGTCCTAAATATCAATGAATATAACGATCGTTGGGCTGCAATACATGTCACAGTGTTCAGCCATCTAGTGGAGGATAGACACGTGGTCAATGCATCCATCACTAAAGTGATATCTGATTATCCATCACGGGCTAGATGTACTTTGCCACAGTTTCCTCTGTTCTACTGTTTGACTATGGAAAATAACCACTAAAGGTAGAGGACATGAAGAGATTTCGCATATTCGACTGTCGTTGCCATCGTGGCGTAGGTCACACATAGCATCACGACGTCTGTAATGTAGAGGCAGAAAAAGAACGTCATTTGGTGGGATTCCGAACCTTGATAGACTCAAGTGGTTGACTGGGATATACTTTACGCAGGCTTAGTAACAGTTTGCCTTGTCGTGCAATGTTAGCTGAGGTAGGTTCCGGCTGGAAAAAAGTTATCGGGTGTTAGGGAAAAAAAATGTCATGGTGCCTGAATTCTCTGACTTTAGGTCTCAGATGTGTATTGGAATGTAGACTTCCCAGTTCTGCCCCATGTAGGAACAGGAGTCGGGGGTTCGGAACTTCAGTTGATATGGTTGAGAATCGATCTCAGTGAGGTAGATGGATCCAAACATTATCCTTTTTCCAATGGTCACCTCTTACTGTATAACTATAGTGTGCAGGAAGATTGACAAAATCTTCATAAGAAGCCGCATATGCCTAAAGCCGTTTTCAGTTACTGGCTTTGTTTCATAATTTCTGGAAAACACACGTGATCCAACGTGTAAGTGTCAGATTGGTTGAAGAGCTGAACAATCAGTAGAATTTATATATATTGTTGGTGTTGCTGTTGTTAATACACCTGTTCTATTACCGCCTTTACTATTTACAGAGAAGCTGACTGACCATTAAGGGCGGAGTCTGAAAGCTCTTTCAAGTCAATGGTAAAGAGATATAAAAAGTGGCTACTGAAGTTACAAAAACTTTCCACTATTTTGGGATTCTTCCCTCTTTATTTCTGCATGTTTCATTTTGAAACCTTCTATCTTGATGCAGCTTGGACCATTACACAACTAAGCCAGCTTTAACGTCAATATTGACTGACCGGCTGTCAAAAGTGATAGCACAATCTACATTTCAGTCAGATAGCTTCCCTAATATTCTCTCAGTTTTAGACGTTTAATTTTCAGTATAGCAAATATTCAAGTTTTATGCGAGATGTTTCATAAACGTATTATACTCCAGTCACTGGCAACATTCTGAATTATAGACTTACTGTATGTTAAATTCAATTTCAAAGCTTGCAGTTCGTTTCTTAATTAACATCCCATTATTCAAATTAGACAAGAAATATGACTGCATAGAATATTCATATGAGTGCACTGCACTGACAGGCTCAGATTAAACCAAGAATATTCTTTTTTCTGTCCACTAAATATTCAGGGAGAGTATTCGCTTGACTGATAAATAGATAAATA